GCCAGCTGAATCAGGGAAGCCCTCCTGGCACGCCTGCCGGGTACCTGACTCACCTGTGAAGATGACGAGGATGGAGAAGGCAGCGATCTCCACGGGGTCGGCCTGCGGCAGCCTCTGCAGCTTCAGCAGCAGCCTCTGGCCCACGGCGTGCATCTCCTGCACGAAGGTGCCGGCAGCCATGGTGCGCTGGGCACCTGCCGGGCTGCGCCAAGGCAGAGAGAGCCCCTGAAGTTTCCCGGGCGGCGCGGCACGTGCCCCTGAGCCCGAGACGCCGCCCTCTGGCACCTCCGCCCGTGGAACGGGTTCCTCTGGTCTCGCCTCTCGCTCCCTGCGGTTCCCAGGGAGGGGGGAGGGGGACCTGCTGCTCGCTCAGGGGTGCCAGGGCCCCCACCCAGCTGGCACAGTTTGGGGGGTGTTTGGCGGAGCTGGGCCCACGGCCATGGCCAGGAGCTTTCTGGCCGTCAGGTGGTAACTGCCCCGGCTGGTCCCTGTGTCCTTCAGTGCTGTGGGGGTTCCCCGGGTCCCTTGAGCTGTTGCCCATCAGATATGAGCTCAAAGGACTGTGGGCCCTGGGTCAGCCATGGGTGAGAGGGACGGGGCTGCTTCCACCACCCCCACCAGCTCCCCAGCCTCCCTACAGCCCAATACCTTTACTCACCCACCTCTCTCCTGGAACACAAGGCACTCACTGCCCCTCCAGGCTTGACCTAGGGCACCTCTCACCAACAAGCCAGTCTCCCCAGCCCGCTCTGGCCTACTCTGCTGCCTGGCCAGGACTCCCCCCCTCCCGCCCTGGCCGGCCCCAGGTCTAGCCCCACACCGAAACTGCTTCCTGTCTCTGCTGCACCATGGCCCGCCAGAACCGGTCCACCGGGCCAGGGCCCTCCTGCTGGCCCTCTGCTCCTGGTTCTTCCCAGGTGACTGTGCTGTGGGAATCTGGCCCCTCCCAACTTGCTGCCCTGCTCAGAACCTTCTGGAACATTACTTAAATGAGTGTGTGTCTGTGCCCGTTGGGTCTTGCTGGCGTTGGGGGCACCACTCCCCGGGCATAGTCAGCCCACCCTCCCAGAGCACCCCTGGGGGTTCTGCACACACCTTTGCCCCGGGTGTGTTGTTGGAGGAAGGTCCTGTCGCCTGGGCCCCGCCTCAGCCTCCTTTCGCCTAAGAAGCAGGGCAGGTCCCGGCTGGCGAGTGTTTGAAAAGGCAGAGCGCCCTAGAAGCCTGGGCCCCCGTCCGTCTGTCCGTCCGTCTGACTGTCCGTGCCACCACTGTTTAAGTGGGAGACTGGGCCCTGGAGGGAATAAGCAACAAGGAGAGGGCGCCGGGCCACAGCCCCTCCCACCGCAGCACAGGCCACCAGAGGGGGAGGTCTCTTGTGCCCATCAGCCCGAGGCCCGCTCTTTTGGCTGGGACACTTGGGGGGGGGGGCGCGGGACAGCCCTGCCTTGTTCTGGCTACCGGCAGTCGGGGCCAGAGGGCAGAAGCACCTTCATACTGAGCAGCCATGTCCCCCGAGAGCCGGTGAGGCTAAGGGGAGGCTCGAGAGGAGGTAGAAGGTGGGGCTGAGGCGGCGCTTGCTGGCAGCAAAGGCAGGTTGGTGGGTCAGCTTTGGCAGGAAAGCCACGCTCCAGAGGTTGTGAAGCTGGGGACTCTGGGAAGCGTCAAGCCACACGAGTGACAGCCCTGGGAGGTGCCGCGGCTTTGCATCAGCACTCAGAGGCCATGTCATGACCCCAGGACACACACCAGCCCATTGTCCCTGCTGGACACTGACACTTCACCGTGGCTGGTCTCCTGTGCCCCTAGGCTCCAGGGTGCTGCTGCTCTGGGAGGGGCCGCATTCCATCAGGCCCCTGGGCCTGTCTCTGGCAGGCTATTTACAGTGGAGGCCCAGGGAGTGCCTGCTGCCTGGCTGCCTGATATAACCCAAGGTCAGGTGACTGAGTGCCATGTACCCGAGCTGCCCGCCTGGCCCCCTGGTCTCTGGGCCTGGACGGAGGAAGGCAAGGGAGCCCGGCCCAGCTGCCGATGATTCTGTACTTTTCCAGTCTTTCTGACTCAGGCTCACCACAGGCCTTCCAGAACCGCGCTTCCTGCCCGGGAGCCGGGAGGCTTCGCTCAGCCCTGGCTCGGAGAGTCTTGGGTCTCACAGGTTCTTGAGCGGCAGCCCTGGGCCCAGGCAGGGAGAGTGGCCCACAGGCCCCGCCACAGCCTGTGCTGCCCTCATGGCCCATCAGGAGCCCCCGAGGGTGCCCCCGGCCAAGCAGGGCAGAGGGAGCTGGCAGAGCAAGGGCTTGGAGGCGTCCCCTGGTGTGGCATCCCCGGCCCAGGGCACCCCTTCAGGTCCCCCAACCTCTCATTCCCTGCTGAACCAGCCCCCCTCCCCACTCCGTCTCTCCAGCCTTCCGGCCAGGAGAGCTGTGGCAAGGGGTCCACGGCTCAGGGGCCCCGACGAGGGTAGTAGGTTCAGCTGGTACTTTGCCCTGGTGGGCTTCCCCTGGCTGTGCCCCGTGGTTCCTTATCTCGCAGCCATAGTGAGCAGAGCTGACACTTGTGGTCTACTGTGGCCCCGAGGCCTGACCACAGGTGGCACTGGTGCCCTTCATGTGTTGGATGACCCCTCCCGGCTGCACTTCCGCAGCCGGTAGGTTTCCAGGGCGGGGAGCCCTTGTCTGTGGCTGCTCTTGGGGCGTGTCCCTCCGCCCTTGCAGTGGGGAGATGTGTTCAAGGAACCTCCATCTGTCTGTGACACGCCGCAGGGACAGCCCTGGGAGGTGCCGTGGCTGCGCCAGGGCGGCCTGTAGACATGCCCCAGGTGTAGTAGAGGTTTCCACGGCCCCTCCCACCAGCTGAGCTTTTGCCCCTGGCCGGCCAAGCTGCTCCCCTGCTGCAGGCACGTCTGCCTGAGCCCCGGCCTCGACTGAGCCCAGTGCCCTTGGTCTGAGCTGGGGAGCTCACTGTCCCCTGGGCTACTGGGGGTTTTGTTTGTCTCACTGGGTACTATTTTGTCTGCTTTGGAGGCCCAGCAGTGGGGTTGAGCCTGGCGTGAGATGGGGGAGGTGGCCGGGTGGGAGGGCAGCAGGGGCCAGTCCCACAGTGGGGGCAGGCGAGCCCTGACATCGGGTGGTTGTGCCCCTGCCTTATTTCCCCGGTTACCTTGCTGCTGTGGGTTAGAGACAGCCGCGCCCACTCCAGGACAGAGCTTGGGGCTCACTGCCAGCAGGGGGGTGCTAGGGCCCACCGACCCGACAGGGGTGGTTGACTTGGGCAGGGGCATCACCACGTGGAGGACGGGGTGGCAGCCCCGCAGGGTCTGGGACAGAGCCTAAGCCCCCTGGAGGGAGGTGGCTTAGCCCCACCTGCCAAGTCAGCAGGCCATGTGTGCCTAGCCTGGCGCAGGCTGGGCCGGAGCCCCGATGAGTTAGGTGGCCCTCCACACAGAGCAGGGTGGCCCGCCTCGAATGGGGCTCTTCCTGCATCCCTACACAAAGACCCCAGGCAAGTGCACCCGCAGGTGCCTTCTCCCCTGCTCATGGCAGCCAGCGCTGGCCCCTGCCCTTCACCCCATGCAGGGCCACTTACCTGCCGTTCAGTTGCGGACTTGGGGGGCGGGGGGTGCCTTGTCTAGGAGCAGCCCACGTGCGTCTTCTGTCCCTGGCCTCCGTGGACACCTCTTTCCTGGCGGCTGCTGCGGCCCACAGCACCACCCCACGTGGGGCGTCTCCCCCAGCTGATAGCCGGCTGCTGCCCGGCAGGCTTGGCCTTTTTGTTGTCGGTTGTCCCAGAGACCCAAGTGTCAAGTTGCATCTGCGGCCCGTGCACCCGTGCACCCGCAGCACAGGCGCTCAGCAACTGCTGGGCTCTCCTCTGTCCTCGCTCCCACCCCTGTCCCGCCCTCTCCCTGCCCTCTTTCTCCACTCCCTCTCCCCCGCCCTCTCAGCTGGGCTGGGCTGGGCTGGCTCCTGCCCTGGCAAAGACCCCAGGGGCCAGTTACCTAAGGGTACGGAGGAAAGACAGGGAGCCTCTGACCTTCAGTACCAGGCCCACCCGGCCCTGCCCTTCCCTCAGGCAGCTTCTGAGGATAGGGAATTGTGGCACCACAGGACCACCCAGACCAAGCCCCCAGGGAGGCCCTACTCCCTGGGCACCCCACCCAGAGGCATCTCAGGGTGTCCTGCGGGCCAGGGAGCCCTGGGAGGAGAGGGAGGAAGCCGGTGGTTTTCCGGGCCAGAGTTAGTGCCCCCAGGGCCCGCATGTCAGCATTCCCTCAGTCCTTGCTGGCACGCCCAGGGCCAGGGGCCTGTGACAGTGGCCGGGTCCTGCCACGGAGCAGACTAGTCACACCCGGAGCGGGACTGGAGACCCCAGCCCTCTTGTCAATGGAGCCCTTTGAGTCTGAGCACAAAACCCCAGTGAGTCAGGGCGGGGGGGGGGGGGGTCAGGCCAGCCTGTGGCCTCCCCACCCCGATGCCCAGCCTCCCCACGTAGGATAGGCAGCCACTGTGTGGAAGACCTACTTTGGCCCCTGCACCCACAGAACCTCTAGTGAACTCAGGAGAGCCCCTGAGTGGGGGGTGGGAGGGGACCCCCTGTGATGCTGAAAGCCTAGGCTGCAGTTCTCCACATCTCTAAAGAGCGTCAACCCGCCCCCCCCTCCCTGGAGCTGCCCCAGGAGTCGTGCTGCCCCTGGCAAGCTCGCTGGGAGGAGTGTCCTCACAGTTCTTGTCCCTGGGGGACTCCCACCCACCCGGCTGCATTTCCGAGAACAGAACCTGAGGAGTCTCGGAGCGGCAGAGCCCTGCTCCTGGCTGGCAGCCCACGGGCGCTGGGGGAGGGAGGCTGGGGGCCAGCAGTCCGGACTGCCTGTGTCCCCAGGTCCCAAGGGACAACAGCAAAGTGACTGCTGGGGGAGGGGGGGCGTCTGACCCATACTAGGAGAGGGCAGCAGCAATGGCGGGTCAGGCCCCTGATCCCTTAGTCTCTGCTTGCTCTGCCCCCCAGGGATCCCCCCTTAGTTGGCCCGAGGGCCAGAGCCGAAACTCCAGGGGAGCAGATGGAGGGCTCCCAGTCTGCCCCCACCAAGACCCCTACGTGACTAAGATGAATAAAATCAAGGGTTCCCAGGGCCTGTGCTCTGCAGTGGCCCAGGGTGAGATGGGTGGTCTGGCTACCTGTGGGATGGGATGGCACGCGGATACCAGCCAGACGGAGGCTGGCTTGAGACCCCGCTGGTTTGGCCCCTCGCCCCTCACCTCGGCCGTGTCATTGCCCAGGTGCCGCCACGCAGCCATTGCCAAGTACTTCGGGGATGCGCCCCCCGCCTGCCCCCGGGGCTGTGACCACTGCCAGAACCCCACAGCCGTGCAGAGGCAGCTGGACTCCCTGGGGCGCAGCGCCAGCTGGAGCAGGACCTGCATCCGGCCCTCGACCTCGGGCAATGGCTTTGACCCCGAGTTGTACGAGGGTGGTCGCAGGGGCCACGGGGGCTTTAGCAGGTGAGGGTCACAAGTCTGGGTGCAGGCTCCATGGGCCGGGGGAGAGCTGGGGGGCAGGGGGCGGCCGGGTCCTGCTCATGCCTACCTGCCTGCCTCCAGGTATGATGAAGACAGCGGTGGCAGCGGGGACGAGGCCCAAGACCAGGCCCGCAAGCGGGAATGGAGTGTCTTCTACCAGAAGCAGATGGGGCTGCGAAAGGTGAGGGCTGGGCAGCACGGGCCTCCCAGCACCCGCTGCCCACAGCTTCAGCCCCCCCACCCTGGACTGGCCAATGCCCGCTGGGGCCTCACACGTACTTTCTGACCCTCCCAGGCCAAAGGCCCCGAGGTGGAAGAGTTCATGCCCCCAGGTGAGTGAGGGGCTACTGGGGCAGAGGGCCACGGGGGTGGGTGGGTGAGGTGGATGGAGCACGCCCCCCCTCTCTCCAGATGATGACTGTCCCCTGAAAGAGGCTGCCAGCAGGAAGATCCCCAGGCTCACTGTCAAGGTAAGGGGTGGGAGACCCGTCTTCACTGCCCTGGCCAGCACTGCAGCCTGTGTGACCCGCCCCTCTCCCTCCCAGGCCCGGGAGCACTGCCTGCGGCTCCTGGAGGAGGCCCTGAGCGGGAACCACCCAGCCACAAGTGCCTCTGAGAGGTGAGGGTCCCGGCTGAGCCCAAGCACCCTCCCCACGCCCACCATCACAGGCTCCACCTTCCTGTACCCAGGGGTGTCAATCCTCACAGCCCCCCTAGAGGGCAGGCTTGGCCACTGCTAGAGATGTAGCCAGAGGGTGTCAGGTGAGGATCCCTGTGCCCCACCCCACCACACTAGGCCCTGACACTCTCCCGGGGGGTGCCCGGACTACAGCAGGAGCCCCACAGGGAGCTAACACAGGCCTGGCTGACTTCCGCCTCCCTCCCTCCCTCCCACAGAGCTGCCATCCAGGCCCGGGCCGTGGCGCTGGAGCATCAGGCCTTCCGGAACGCCAAGGTGGCCAACCTGTACAAGGCCAGCGTGCTGAAGAAGGTGCGCGGGCTGGGCTGGCAGGCCCCCCAGGCAGGGGAGGCTCTGCACAGCGTCTAGAAGCCCACTGCTGGGGCAGAGCCTGACTTCCCTCCTTGGCCAGCCGAGGGTGCTGCCTAACTCCGTGAGGACCAGAGCCGGTCCCAGGGTCTAGCTGCCTGGGGCCAGGGGCCACAGAGCCTACTGGGGGGAGGGTGAGTGGGGAGGGAGTTAGTGGCCCCAGCATCCGGCCTGCCCCCCACCCAGGTGGCTGAGATCCACAAAGCCACCAAGGAGGGGCAGCTCTACGACAGCATGGGAGGCAGGGCTGAGAGCAGCGAAGCCCAGGCCGGTCCCCCGGCGCCCAGTGAGCATGACATCCTGCCAGCCTCCCAGGTGTACTCGGTATGTGGTGACCGGACCCTGCCCCGACGAGCCTTATTGCCCAAGCCCTGGGTGTTAAGGGGAGCCCCTCCCGTCCCCACACTGCACCCACCCACCTCCTCGAGCCCAGCCCAGCAGGCCCCTGGCTGGATCGGCCAGTGAGTGGATGCCTGAGGCCTGTCGCTGTGATTTCCCCTCCTTGCAGCTCAAAGCCAAGCGGGTGGGAGCTGGCTTCCCCAAAGGGTCCTGCCTGTTCCAGACAGCCACGGAGTTGATGGAGAGGACTCTGGCCGAGAGGTCAGGGCCCCCACTCCTGCCGGGGGACCCAGAAGAGTCCCCCCCACAGATGCACAGCTGCCGGGAGGAGGGCAGGGCCGAAATGCAAGGAGCAGACCCCAGAGGCGGTGATGAGCATGGGTGGTCCTCTCCCGAGAAGGCCAAACACTCCTCCAGGAGCAGCCCCGCAGCCAAGGCCCGGGCCAGGTGGAAGCAGCAGCTCCTGGCTGAAGCCGCCCGCAAGGACTCTCAGAGCATCGCCCGCTTCTGCCGGAGACTGGAGAGCACACCAGGCACCCTACCCACCCCTCTGAGCACCGAGGAGCCCTCTGGGGAGCGGCCCAGGTAAGGGGGCACGGGTGGGATCCTGGCAGCACCACCTGAATATGGGCCTCCGGAGTACAGGGATGGTTCCAATGCCTGCTCTTCCCTGGCCAGCACCCACCCACATGGAGACCAGACACCCCCACAGGAGACCCAGAATGGCAAGCGGCCCCGACCCCAGCAGGTATTTCAGGGACAGGCCCCCCGGGAGGGGCGGCAGCTCAGACCAGGCCATTCTCTGCTCTGGGCAGCGGGGGTGGGACAACCATATGCATGTCCCAAGGCTGGCAGCTGAGGCACAGAGGGCCAGTCCTACAGAGCAGGGGGCGGTGGACATGACTCTCTACTGTGGCCCTGCCCAGGACAGCGCAGAGAGCCTGGCTCAGAAGCGGCCGTGCCCCTCGGCCCAGCCCTGTGTCTCCACTGAGGCCGTGGGCAGCAGCTCAGCAGGGGACCCAGATGACATGCACCCCGCAGCCCGAGAGCCCTCGCAGCTGCTAGCCCCCAGCATCTCCCTGAAGGAGGCTGCCAGCACTGTGGTCAAGTGCCTCACCCCTTTCTACAAGCAGGGCAAGTTTGCCTCCAAGGTAGGAGTCTGGGGGCTCCACCCTGCCCTGGGGTCAGAGGCAGGGTAGGGCAGGATCGGCCACCTCTAACCCTCCCTGGGGTCTGCCTCACCCCTCACCCCCTGCCGTCCCCCAGGAGCTGTTCAAGGGCTTCGCCCGCCACCTCTCACACCTGTTAACTCAGGAGGCCTCTCCGCAAGGGAATGGTGAGCACCGATGGGTCCAGGTGGGGGGCACAGGGTTCCGGAGGAGACCGGCCCTCACAGTCCACCCCTCCCCGCAGTGGCAGAGGCGGCCTGCAGCCTCATCCGGCAGTTCTTCCACGGCCGCCACCGGTGCGAGAGCACCACGGACTGGCAGGGTCTGACCGGCCCTCGGCGGTGACGTCGCCCAGGCTACGCACCTCTCAGACTGTGGGCAGCAGACCACCGACCGCCAGGGGCTCGCCTCATCTCAGGGTCCTTCCTGCCAAGCCTGCCACCTCCCTCTGTTGCAGGGCCTGGGGCCCTCTCTCCATGAGCGCCCCACTCCCACCCCCTGGCCCGTATGGCTGGGCTGTCTGGTGCCCGGGGCCAGGGAGAGGACCTGTGCTTAGTGCTTAGGTTTTAGCCAAGAGGTGGCAGGGAGGCCCTGCCTGCCCAAGGCATCAGGGCTGCTCTAGAGAAGTGCCTGCTGGCTTCGGCCCCCACCCCCTCCCTGGTCTCCGGGTGGGGAACGGGCTGGGCCTTCCCTGCCCCTCCTGCCAGAAAGGCTTGGTGGCTCGGTGACTCAGGATGTTTACATGGGAATAAATACCTGTTTGTGCTGACACATGCCCTTCTCTCAGGACTTTTATTTCCCTCGCAGCCCCAGATGCCCAGGCTGAAGTCCCCCAGCACCCCATCCAACTCCTATCCACCCCCCCACCCCCCGGCCAGCTCCCACCCGGGAGTCCTCACTGATGGCCATAGCTGCTTGGTTGTCAGCTGCCACATGGGCTAGCCACAGTGCCTTGCAGTGGGTCCCTTTCTGGGCACAGCCCTGGGCCCCCTAAGGCCCTGTGGCCGAGTGGCTGTCCCGCAGGAAGACGATGGTGTGCTGCAGCTCCTGGGCCTGTGGGCGGAGGGCACCGGGTCACCCTTCCACTCGCCCCTCCCCTATCGCCAGCCCACCTCCTGGCCGGCCCAGCCCTACTCACCTGCTGCACCTCGAACCAGATGGTGTGGGGCCGGTCTGAGGAGCCGTAGTTGAGCTCCAGCCCCGGGGCGCCACCCCCCTCCAGGGGGCTCATCAGGCGCAGCCGCTTCACCTCCTTCAGGGTGATGGAGAAGCAGGGAGTCTGGGGGCGGGAGGGGGAGGGTGACGCAGGGCTCCAGGGGTGGGTGGGTGGGGGGCGTCGAGCAGGGCCCACCTGGGAGCTGGAGTCCATGAGGACCAGGTCCTGGCGGCGGAGCCCCAGGAGACAGGGCTTGGGCAGGGCCAGCTCGCTGGAGCGCAGCACTGTGTACACCGTGTAGCCGAAGAGGGGCAGCTGCCTGGCGGCCTCTGGGGTGAGAGGAGGCAAGGGCTCAGGCGGACTCCTGGGGAGGGCGAGGCAGCTACCGGCAGGGCCTCCACCCAGGCACACCCGGACCCACCGAGGAAGCCGATCTGCATGTCCAGCGGGCTGTGTCCCTGCAGCCGGCCCAGCTCCCGGCCCAGCAGGCCCCATACAGCGGCCATGCGCACCTGCGCCTGCAGTGGCTTGGGCAGGTACAGCAGCAGGTCTTGCCTAGGGCACAGACGGGGGGTAGGTGCATCCCAGACTGCTGACCGCCTGGTGCAGGGCTGGGCAGAGCCCAGGCACCAGGTAACCCAGCCACTCGCTCCCTGGGGAAGAGGGCCCATGGCCTGGGAGGAGAGGAAGGTGGGCGTGTACTCACTGTGACAGGGGGTCCGAGGCAGCCTTGCTGAGGTGCTGCAGTGCAGCCAGGTGGGCAAGCCGGGCCTCATCCTGGGCGCTCACCAGCAGCTTCCCCTGGAGGTAGTCCAACAACACCTGAGGGCAAACGGGGGGTAGGAGAGCACACTGTGGAGGTGGGTGCAGAGCCCCCCTGCTGGATGCAGCCAGCTGCCCAGCACCCCGAGGCAGGGCACTGACCTGGCTGTAGTGGACGCTGATGTAAGTGGGATGGTCCAGGTGCAGCGGGGTCTCCCAGCCCAGCCGCCGGCTATGCAGGCTCGTGCCCTTGGTCCCCAGCAGGCTGTTGAGGTACTCACAGGGCCGAAGAGGCCGCACCAGGTCCCCTGCTGCCAGGGGCTCCCTCAGAGCCTGCTCTGGGCCCCTGCCCTGCAGCCCCACCATGGTCAGCTCCCCCCCTCCAGGAGAAACGGCCTCCTGTGTGGACACTACCTTCCCCCTGGATGAGGAAGAGGGCAAACTCCTGTACTTCCTGTGGCTCCGTGATGCCCATGTGCCCGCACAGCTCCTCCAGCACGTCCTCGGCCACCTGGCACGGGGACAGCTGTGAGGGGGAGGACGCCCTCCCTGTCCCTCTGACCCACCCCACCTCTGTGTATGGTTCTCACCGTGAACATCTGGATGTTGGTCTTATAGTCCACACCCCCTGACATGTGGATCAGAAACTTTCGGGCCGTGTGGCCTTTCTGTCAAGCCGGAAGGCAGGTCAGAGCCTGCACAACATTCCTCCAGGGGCCCCAGGACACGCCCCTCACCCCCACCCCCACCCCCTGCTGCACCCCCAATACCAGGAAGGCCTGCATCTCCCCTGGCCAGGGCAGCCGCTGGCGGCCCCCATACTTGACTGTGCGCTGAAGGTGCTCTTGGGTGCTGTGGGCCAGCTCTGTGGTGGGGGTGGGGGGAGTCAGGCAGGATCAGAGGCCCCTGAGGCCCCCGCTAGCTGAGCATCCACCTCCCTCCCCACCCCGCCCACAGGTACCTAGGCTGGGGTCAGCGTCCTGCAGGAACTTGGTCACGTAGGGCATCAGGGTGGGCGACGGCAGGAAGAAGCCAGTGAGGAGGCTGAGGAGGCTCCAGCCTCGGGCGCTGTGCTCCCTGCAGGCCGCCAGCAAGCAGTCAGTCTGCTACGTCCAACGCCCGGCTCCCCGAGGCCCCAGGCCGCCCCAGCAGGCACCCCACTCACGGCTGGGGGTGTCCCGTGATCTGCTTGATGACCTGGCAGTAAATCTCATCCCGGAGGTTCTCCGCCCGGCCAAGCTGGGGGGCAGGGACAGGCAGGAGGCAGGGCTCAATGCCTGGGAGAGGGGCTTGGGCAGTGACACATGTGGAGGTAACACCAGGGGCCACTCTCAGCAGCACCCACATGGCCAGGCACTTTGTCCTTAAGTCAACCTCCTTGTTTGGCCCCCGCCCTGCCCCTCTTGTTCCCTCCTCCTCTCCGGGCTAGCCCAGCACGGACCTCTGTCCACATACCCTCCTCCTGCAAGGGCTTCCCCCTAGCCTGCAGGACCCTCCTGAATTTTAGACTTAACCCACCCAAGTCACACTTCTCCTTCTTCCCATCCGAGAAGGTGAGGTGAGGGTTTGGAGACAGACTTGCCCCCTCCGCTGCCCGCTCCCCATGGCCAGTGCCAGCTCTCACCTGGGATCGTGCCCCATGAGCTCAATGCCAGCCAGAGTGGCCCTGCCCACCCGAGCTGCACCTCTGCACAGCCCCCCCCCAATGCCTTCCCATCTCCCCAGGACATCTGCCGCTCCCCTGTGTCCCACTCCCATCAGGACCTCTCCCTCCCTGCCCGTGGCCACATGGCTCTCTCCCCTCTTCCTGCTGCCCTTTGCTCCCATGCCACCTGGCAGTGAAGCCCAGAGAGGCCCCACACAGGAGCCGGGAGGAGCACTCTGTGTGAGACTGTTAGAATAGGGGGTTTGTTCCCCTCCGTGCCTGGGGGGCCCCTACAAAAAGTTGGGAGCCGATCAAGACTAGAGGACATGCACAAATTCAGGCCTTTGAGCCAGGAATCCAGGACACCTGGATTGGCCCAGTCTAGGCCAGGTGGGCTTACTTCAGCCAGTGGGGTCAACCAGCACCATTGACCATGCCTCCCAGCAGAAAGCCCCCCAAAAGAGCCTGAACCGGGAGACCACCCTCTTTCCCAGCTGCTCCTCCGCCGTTCTGCGGCCAGGCCTCTCTCTCTGGCTGCAGCCGCCACGTGGGGTGTGCAGTGCCCTGAGGGTGCCTGTGTTCGGTTTCCTGAAACGGCTCTGCCCCTTTATTAAAACCCACTTGGATCACAAACCAGGCTTCAGCGGGAATTCCTCCTTGTGCGAAAACAAGGACCGAGGCATTTCCCACCCAAGAAACCTAACAAAACCACAGCCCAGTGCCCGGCCTCATTCTCCCAGGGCAGCAGATAACGCCAGGAGGGACGTCGCTACAGCACACAGGCCGGTAGCTGCCGATGAGCGTCCACTCCCGCGGGCGAGCAGTTCTGCTGGACGGAACCGAGAGCTCAGTATTGGATGGCGTCACGACGTCGCTGTGCGTGGGGAGGCCCGGCTCACCTCCAGCAGCCCGTACAGTAACTCCACCTCGTCCTTGCCCCGGGGCTTGGGTTGGTCCCCCATGAACTGCATCAGTGCTGCCGGTGGGAGAAGAACTCACTGCCCGCACCTGCACTTCTAACTGGTTTGGTCTAGTTGGACCCCCTCTGCCGAGAGCCCCTTCCCTTCCTCAGATTCCGCTTCACAGGGACCCTACAGGACAGGGAGGAACTGTCCCTGTGGGTTTCTGAGACTGTCACTCTACGGCACCTCATCTGTCTGCTGAGGACTGCAGCCTAGCCCGTAAGCACTACAGCCCTGGGGCTTCTGGTAGATGGAGTCAGAATCCACAGCTTCCCAAGACCCCAGGTGATGCTCAGGTACACCTGGGGCTCCCAGGCGATGCAGAGCCTGCCGCAGCATCTCTGGTAAACCAGGGCCCACTGGTCTGAAGTCCTGCCCCAAGGGCACAGCAAGGAGGTGGGGCCCCTGGCATCAGCTTTACCTCTGGGGAAAGGAGGCTGGGAACAATGGGGCCCCCACAGCCGTACAACGTGCAGGGTGCTGCCCGGAACTGCCCGCTCCCTTCCTCTTCCTCCACCCCTGCTGCCACAGCCCAGGGGTGGAAGCACAGAAACCCCCAGGAGCTTCCTGAGTGGGCCAAGCCACAGGGCCCAGGCTCACCACCCGCCCCCAGAGGGCTGGACCCGGGAACGCCACTCACCCCGGAAGCTTTCCACAGCCTGCCTGTTGGCGGTCTCGTCGCTGAGACAGATGAGTGACTCTTGGATGGGCCCCTGCAGCCACAGAGGGGGTCTGTGGGGTTGCCCAGGGAGGCCAGGGCCAGGGCCAGCCTCTCCTCCACCCACCAGGTCGCCCTCACCTTGGTGTGCTGCACCAGGCTGGCCAGGGCCTTGTCCTCATCACCTGGGGCCAGCCTGCAGGGACAGAGGGACCACAGCCCTGCTTGGCCGGCCCGCCCGCCCGCCCGCCCGCAGGCCAGGCTACTCAAGGGGCAGCTGTGGGGGCCAGGGCCTGGCAGTTCTCACCACCGAGGGGCAGACAGGCCTGGGGTGGGCACAGGGCACTCACAAGGTTGGGGGCTTGCGGAAGAAGCGCAGGGCGAATTCCTGCATGGTGTAGCTGTGGGGGTCGGTGGGCAGAGAGCTGAGGGCCAGCGAGGAGGGCAGGCTGGTGGTCTCCCAGTCCTCACTGAGAGCCTGGCTCCGGGTTGGCACGGGGCGCTGGGAGCACAGGAAACCTGCTGCCGCCCACGTGGCTCCTGGCCTGTCCCAAAGACCCTGCCCACCCAGCCCTACCAGGCCGGAGGGCAGCAGGCAGGGCGGCCAGAGAAGCACACACAGGGAGACAGGGCAGTCGAGAGCTGTTTATTGAGTGCCCGCCTCGGGCTTACAGTCTGGCTGGTAGGCTGGCGAGGGGCAGGGAGCGGGCAGAGGGTCACAGGAGATGAGAGCAAAGTCTTTCCAGGAAGGGAGGGGGACAGTCTCACTGTCCTTCCTCTGCTCCCAGCTAGGCCCCTACCCCTGTCGTCCTCACCTCCGAGGCTCTGGCCCCAGGAGGTGGCCCCGGCTCCCCACGTGGCTGCGGCAGACTCCGGCGCCGGCCACTCCGCTGCTCCAGCCAAAAGTCGGGGGCGGCTGCCGGCTGCACCAGGTCGGCAGGGAAGAGTCCGGAGCGGCCCCCACTGGAGCCGAACTGCCAGCCTACAAGGCAGAGATGAGGGCACCTGGCCCTTCCACCCAGCAGGTGGGAGGGGCGGGAGGAGGGCTCCCCCCAACCCCCCAGGCCAACCCCCAAGAGTACCTGGCTCCAGCTCAGCCATGGGCAGCAGCTTGATGAGGTCCCCACGGTGGACGCTGAGGAGGCTGCTGTCATCAGTGATGTAGCTCCTCAGGGCAATGACGTAGTCGGAATCCTGGGGTCAGGGACACGTGTGGCCCCAGACCCTTGGCTCAGCCCCCCTCGTTCCACCACAGCCCCGCCCAGGCAGCATGCAGGACCCACGGCCCCCCCAGCCCAGCCCAGCCCCCACCTGCCTTAGTGAGCTCACGCAGGTACAGCGCCACCATGGCCTTGACGGCGCCCGCCCGGGCCGTGTGCAGCACCAGCTGCTCACTCCTCAGCGTCAGCACCAGGGTGGACTCGCCCCGGCTCTCCACGCCCAGCACCTCCGCAAAGCTGCGCATGGCCCAGGTGGTGAGTTGGGGGCCACCTGCTGCCCCTTACCCTGCTCGCCCCCTCCCCCACTCAAGCGTGGCCCAGCTCACCTGTAGGAGCAGAGGGTCTTCAGCTGGTCCAGGTGGAAGCCGGCGCCTCGGGTCACCTTGAGCAGCCTCAGCCCGCGGTGGGACACACCCAGTAGTTGCACATCGCTGCCGCTCTCACCCTGCCGCCAGCGAGCAGACGGGGAGGTCACGGGAGGTCCCGGTGCCCCCAGGCACCAGGGAAGATGCCCTGGAGATGTAACCCCCCCATACATACACACTCTTACCCCTGCTGCCTGAGGTCCCCGCCCCCACACCGCCTCTGCGCCCCGGGGAGCCCCTGACCGAGACAGGGAAGATGCGGGAGAAATAATTGGCCCAGTTGTCCCGAGCCGCCACCACAATGCGCTTCTTGACCCCTTCCTCAGCGAGGGCGATGGAGTCCAGGCCCACCTCCAGGTCCCCTGCAGGCAGGAAGAAGGGGCCAGCCTCAGTCTCCCACCTCAGCCCGCTTCCCACCCTCCTCCCCCAACCCCAGATGCAGGGGCCCTACCCAGCAGGTCCTTCATTCGGCACCGTTCCTCTGGGGAGATTCGGATGCAAGACTCGGCAAAGGTGTCCAGCAGGATCTGGGGCAGAGCCAGGCAGTCAGCCCAAGCCGGGACAGCCACAGGCAGGGGCAGGGCCAGGGCCAGGGAGTCGGCCCAGGGTGGGGCAGCCATGAGCACAGCCAACAGGGGGGAGCCTGGCGGGCCCCAAAGTCAGAAAATGGCAGCTGACCTGGTCTGGGTGCCTCTGGGGCTGACCTGCCCTTCAGGGCCCCTGGGGCACAAATGGAGCAACAAGGCATGTGGGGCTTTTGAGCCCAGAACCTCCAACCTGCCCCCTAAATGCAGAATCTGGGGGCATAGAGACCAGGTCCTGGGAGCCTCGTGGGGGCTGGAGGAGGGGTGCCCACACTCAGGCTCCAGCCCCATTTACAGATGAGGGAGCCTCAGTGAGCAGCGGATGGGCCGACTGTCCCTCCGCCCCTCACCCTGGCCGCCTATCTGCAGGTGGGCCTGCTCTCACCTGTCTGCAGAGAAGCTGGAGGCAATAGGGGTGGCTGAAGTTCTCCCGGGGGTAGAACACCTGGAGGAAGGTGGACAGTCAAGTTCAGGTGGGTCCACTCCACCACCACCTCTGCCCTCCCAGGTCCAGACTGGTGATTGGCTGTGGGGAAGGGTCTGTGGGGTCCCAGCTGTGTCCTTCAGACCAACGGGTCTGAGCGGAGACCCCCTCCCCAGCTCGTGCCCACCTCCTTTCGAAGAAACAACTTCCAGGGCACGCTGGCATAGGAGAAGCACACGCTGCCTGAGGGTGCCAGCAGCTGGGTGGAGACCCCCTGGTCGCCCATGGGCTCTGTTAAGGCTGCAAGAAGAGTGTCAGGGTGTCAGTGGCTGGGTCCCACTTGGGGAGCAGAGACCCTGGTCTCCCAGGAGTGCCCCTCTGGGTCCCTGAAGTCTCTCCTGTTTCCATGTCCTCCTGCCCAAGCTCCTAAGATCCTTTGCACCCTGGCATGAAGGTACCTGGTCTGCCTGGGGGACCCCCCCCCACACACACACACCTGAAAGGGACCCCCCCCACACACACACACACACCTGAAAGGGACAGCCCTGTCACACAGGGCAGCAGGCCCCGGGATGCTGGCCCCACCCTGGGTAGGAACACGGAAGCTGGGGCTCCTCACTTATGGCTCCAAAGTCCAAAAGCGGCAGCTGACCTGGGCCGGGATGCCCAAAGGCTGCTGGGAATCCTGCTCTGTCCCTCCAAACCCACCGATGTCTACAAAGGGTCCTTACCATGGGGCTCAGGTGGCTGGGTCTCTAGGTCCAAAGGCGGAGGCAGTGGGGGTGCTGGTGGAGGTGGGAGTCCCTCAGGAGTGCGTGGGGTCTGGCTGAACAGGCCCTGAAGGGGGCCCTGCTTCTCCCTGATGGATTTGGAGGGGCCCTTGGGCCGAGGGGCCGGGGCTGGTGGGGAGTCCTTCTCTGAACCGTGCAACAGTGTCTGGGGGACACAGAGAAAGTGTCCAGATTGCCCAAGACTGGAGGCTGCAGTTCTCCCAGAGAAGCGAGGGCCTGGAGGGGCACCGTGGGGGTGCTCACCGAGGGGGGTGAGTCACCTCCGCTGATGCCGAGTTTAGCCAGCTTGGCCAGCGCCTCATCCTTGGGGTCGTTTTTCTTCAGGAAAGCCTTGGGGGATCTTTTGGAAGCAGGCAGAGGTCACTTGGCATTTCTGGAGGCAGGCACAACCCCACCTCCTCCTCCAGGGAGCTCACCTGGATGGCTGCACCGGTACGGGCACAGGCGCTGGGCGGCTCTGGTACATGCGGATGATGTTGCGGATCTCCCGGCTGGGCTGTTGCCGCGGGGCTCGGGGCTCCGAGCTGCGCACTACGGCCCCCCTACTCTCCTCAGGCCCTTGGCCACTGCCCGCATCGCGCTCCTGTGCGGGCAATGCCTCCGCCTCCTTTGCAGCTTTGGCTGTGCCTCGTTTCAGTGGCTTCCTCGTTACTGGGGGCGGGAGGGACTCTGCGGAGAGGTAAGGCCAGGATGTCCATTGAGGATGAGGTGCTGTGCAGAGGGCAGGAACCCCAGGCCTCTCACCCATCTCCTCCCACCACCTGCTCTTGTGGCCTCCTCTTCCTCCTCCTCCTCCTCCTCCTCTGCCTGTGGGATCTGGACCTTGGCCGGGGGCCTCGCTGTCTTCATCTTGATTTGCTGCTGCCCTGTAAGGGGCCCAGGCAGCCCTCTCCGTGACCCATCATCCCACGCCCCCCCTCACCCCACCCCTGGCCTGCTCAGCCAGCCAGGTGGCCTGGCTCCCTTCAGGCCCTCACCCATCTTCTGGAAGTAGTCCCGTTTCTGCTGGAAGCTCTTGATGGTCTGGGCCCTGTCCTCAGCCTCTTCCTCAGCCTCCTCCTGGCAGGAAGGGGACGTAGACGTGTGGCCCAGTCCACCCAGGGCCCCTCCCGACAGGCCTGCCATCCATCTGGCTTCGCTCCTCACCCTGGAGCAGGCACTCAAAGGCTCCTCTCGGGGCACAGGGGGCTTCTTGGGCTTGGGGACAGAGGCTTGGATTTGGGGGCGTGGACTTGGGGGCGACACTGGAGAGGTGGTCCTGGAGGCCTGGGCCTGGGGCTGCCTCTGTCGCTGCAGGGTCTGATGCTCCAGGGTCAGGGTCATGGCCTGAGTGGTCATCTGCTGGGCCTGGAGGGGAGCAAGTGAGAGGCCTTGCCCCACCCGGCCCAAGGACCCACCCCCCACCCACCTCAGCACCCACCCTCACCAGGAGCAGCGCCTGCTGGTTGATGAAGCTCTGCTGCTGGGCTGCCAGTTGCTGGACGTCCAGGCTGGGAAGCAGGGGCTGGGGCGGCTGGGGCATCATCATGGCTGAGGACAGACAGGAGGGTGCCAGGCAGTCGGCGCCACAGCCACGTGGGTGGCTCTCACCCACTGTGTGCCCTTTGGGCTCCTGGCAGGACCCTCCCTCCCCTCATCCAGCTGGCTCGCCCATGGCCCCCAGCCCTACCTGGCATGGCAGGGACTGCCCCCATTGCTGGCATCATGGGCACCGGAGCAGGTATCATGGCGGGTTGGTACCCGGGCATCTGCATCATCCCTGGATGTGCAAGGGAACAGCCCCAAGTTGGCCCCTCCGAGGTCTCGGACCCCCTCCCTCCAGTACCAGGTGAAAAAGAGCAGGGACCCCCAGGGTGTTGCCCAGAGCTTTGCCACTGGGTGCCCGTATCAGACCCTGCCAGGGTGGGGGCCAGTGCCCCTCTGGGCTAGCCTACACTTACCCATGGGGTAGCCACCCTGCTGTGTGGGCCCGATGGAGCCCCCGCCCTTCATGTGGCCCTGAAGGGTCCAGCTCTGCTCCAGATCCTGCCGGGATAGAAGCCACAGGTCACAGGGTCAGAGCGAGAGCCAGAGGGCTGGCGGGGACAGCCAGGCCAAGGGGCGCGGGCACTCACGCTGAAGCGGGGCGAGAGGACTGGCTGGAAGAGGTGGTCCAGGAAGCCATCCAGGCTCCCCGCCGGCTGGGCCTCCCCTGCAGGGTAGAAGAAGATTGGTGCCATTGGCCTGGGACAGGAGGGGTGTCCTGCACCCCATGACCTGCCCTCTGCCTGGTCTCCGCAGGCCCCCTCTGGCCTTACTTGTGCGGTCCCTGTGAGGCAGTGTGGGGGCTGGTCCTGGGGGCGGCGGGGGTGCCTGGAACCCAGGGGCAGTAAGGATGTCTTCAGAGACCCTGCAGGAGAACAGGCCTGGCTCAATGCCTGGGTGGGAGCGTGGCAGGGGAGGGGGCTGCGGCGAGATCGAGAAACTGCTGGAGGAGAGGAGGGGTAGGTGGGAAGATCCAGGCTGCAGGGCCTATGAACCAATCTCAGGCCACTGGGTGGGGGGGGGACAAGGGTAGCTGTGGGCCCCCCCCCCAGGAGCAAGGGGCAGGGGTGGCACCTACAAGCCTCGAGGGTTGATGGGGTAGCCCTGGGAGGTGATGGGGTAGCTGTGGGGGCTGGCTGCATCCCCCGGGTCCTCCATCTGCCCAATCAGGTCCAGCACAAAGTCAGAGCCAGCCAGGTCCTGCCAGACCTCCCCGGAGTGCAGTGACACCGACCAGCCGCGAGGACGAGCATCGAGGCCTCTGAGGGAGGGCAAGGGCAATTGGGGGCCGGGTAACAGCGAGGCAGACAACCCCTTCAATAGGGGGAAGGTTGGGGGACAGTTCCTCAGCCCTTCCCAG